AGGGGCTAATATGCTTATACCATTTTTTATTCAAAGAAATAAATAATTTTCTTATACTATGTAATTACTATATATATATATATAGAGTGTTGGGCAAAATTTAAATAGTAATTATTTTAAAAGTAAATTCTTTCATTACAAATTAAAAATTTATTAGAAGGAAATTTAAAATTTTACTTTTAAGTAATTTTTAAATAAATTTTGAAAAAATTTAAACGTACAGCCTTTTAAATACCAAATTAACCTAATTATAATGAAAAATTTAAACTGTAGCAATTTTGGTTAATTTTGAATATAATACCAACCCAAATTAAACTTAAAATTTTCAATTAATTAGCACTAATTTTTTCTGAATAAGAAAAGGGTTCAATTACATAAGAGGTATACTTTTTTAAATAAATCAAAATATATCAATGTGGAGTGCGCCGCGCGCTCTCATGTCCCTTTACAATCTCTACATAATGATAGTTTTCTTTCATGAGGAACACACAAGTCTAGAAAATGCCAAGCTTAAATAATAGGAAAATAATTAATACATTCCTTTCTTTAATCTACTTTATAATATTTATTCAATTTAATTGTTAAAATATAATATAAAACAATTGATTAAGTTGATTTCTATATACTATATACATTATTACAATTTTAAGTTTATTTATTTTTAATTTCAGGCTAAAACATAATATTTTTTTAATAAATATATCATATAATGTGTTAAAATTAAAAGATATATTAATCAATATCCTAAACAATAATTGTGAAAAAGCAGACTGAAGGCTAAAGTCCTCTAATTAATGCAAAGGGCGAGAGCAAGGCGCCACTGGAAATGTAAAAAGCACTTCCATCAAGCCAAACGAAAGTTCTTCTCTGGATCATTTCAAAAACTAAGTCCTCTCATCCCAAGAGATGATGTAGAATGGGATTCCTCATAAACCAAATTGACCTGACGGAACAAAGAAAATAAAAGACCAAACCTCCGTGCGGATGTAGTTCTGAACTCTGGTGCAGTGTCTCTCACTGAGTTGATGGACAGTTGCTGCAGGTGTGAAGTTGAGACCCCACCATCTGTAGCCCCTTTTCCATAACTCTTGTGTCTTATTACATTTAACAAATAGGTGATCAACGCATTCCATCCTCTAAGCGAAGAAGACACAACAGGGCCTCATTGTCTAATGGAATGCCCCTACTATGAAGCCTAGCTTTTGTACGAAGGCTGTTCAATAACAAACACCACCAAAAGCAACTTAGTTTTGTGGGGAGTAGTTACTCCATAACCGGTGCATTGTTGTTTATCCAAAATTCTTGAGTTATTTCATAACAACCGATAGCCTTCCTTAGAGGAGCACTCCGAAGCTTTTCCAGCAATCCAGCATCTCTAATATTTTGCATTCCCCTTTCGGACGTGTAAGGGTAAATCCAGAGCTTTCCGCTAGAATAGCTACATGGCAGTTACAATGGACTTCTTTATATCTAGATATATCTCAATCTCCCGGTCCCGAAATAACTGCCTGGAGATACATATCACATCCTGGATATTTTGCTAGATACATATCACATCCCGGATATCTTGCTTGGCATCTTGATTGGCATGCTGCGTGGATTCTGCATCGGAACATATAAATACCTCTTAAGGGTTACGCCAGAAGAGGATTGAAAAACCAACCCTAAACTCCTTGTTCTCTCGCTTTAAAGGTAGCCCCGATTATTGCTGATTTAAGTATCGGAGTGTCTACCCCGAGATCCATCTCGGGGCTTTGCAGGTCAATCCGGAGTGCAGATCTGAAGTGAAGAAGGACGTTGGGTTTGGTGCAGTTACATTTTGGCGCCGTCTGTGGGAACCGAACAAAAGGTTCCGTTGTTGCTCTTATTATGGTAAGAACTAGGTCAGCCTAAGGCGAAAACTCGTCCCAGCCTCTTGGACGAGGTCAGGTCCCCAGCAACCTTCCACCTCATCCTCCACCCCCAATTCCAAATACATTCCCTCCTGTTGATCATGCAGAAGGAGAAGACGAAAATCAACCACACAATTCGGTTAGCCACTCAGCCTCAACTGCTAACCAAGACGTAGTTGCAACTCAGCTCGCGGCCATGCAACAGCAGTTTGGTGTCTTTCAGCAAGTGCTGGCTCAGTTGTTAGCCCGGAGCAATCCTGGTGATCCACTCATCAATCTACTTAATCCTGCCCCACCGCAACCCAAAGCCCCACCACAAAATCCTGAGCCAATTCAACGTGCTCCCGTTGTTAGTGAATCTCAGGGTCAATCTCACATTGCACTAGCTCAGCCACCTCCTCAGGATGATGTCACCCGACGTCTAGACAGCTTGGAAAGGCTAGTGGTTGAACAACGAGGTGCCCCACCTCCACATCCCGCTGTCGACTCCGTCCCTCACCCTCTCAACACCAATATTGTACTGGAACCCTATCCAGCGGGCTTCAGAATACCACAGCTTGAAACTTATGATGGGACGAAGGACCCTGATGATCATCTGCATGCTTTCTACTCTTGCATGCAGGCCCAGAACGCTTCTGATGCGTTGATGTGCAAAATCTTCCCCTCTACTCTCCGAGGTAACGCTTGAACCTGGTACTATAGTCTGCCTCCGAGATCAATCAACTCGTACACAGAACTATCATCTGCTTTTGCCACTAAGTTTTCCAGTAGGAGGTTGATAAGGAAAACCACTTCTGAGCTGATGCGAGTCAAGCAGAGGGATGGAGAATCTCTAAAGAATTTTATGAGCAGATTCAATGATGCAGTGCTAGAGGTTAACTCTTTCGACCAAGCAGTGGGCATTACAGCTGTGATCTCGGGTCTCGGCCATGAAAGATTCAGAGAAAGTCTGCTCAAACATCCCGCCGCCACCTTCAGTGAGGTAAATGATAGATCATTGAAATTTATAACTGCTGAGGAATATGCCCTGTCACAGCACCTCACCCCTATTAAAAACCAACACCCGGACTGGAGAGATGAGAATCCGAACAGGAAACGGATGAAGACAACACAGAACCGAGGTCCGATGTCGACCCGAAATTCGGAAGGCCGAACTCAACACCTCCGCAACAACCTGCAGGTAAACCTCCAGTTAATTAGACTCCTTTTAATTTGCCGAGGTCACAAATCTTCATGCAGATTAAGAATAAAATGGACTTACGACGTCCGGGTCCAATGAGAACTGCTGCTGCTACCAGAGACCATACACGGTATTGTGATTTTCATCAAGATCACGGTCATACCACAGAGCAATGCAATAGTCTGAGGTCTGAATTGGAAAGCCTAGCGCAGAAAGGAATGCTGAATGAGTACATCCAGAGAGTGGAACAGCCACGATTTGTCAGGGAACAAGGGACACAGCATCAAGGGGTCCGTAACCCCCCAAACAGGCAAGGTGTGGGATATCAGCAGGCCCCACCACCACTCCCACCACCAGCTAGAGTCATACACATGATTACGGGAGGTCTGGAAGCAGGAGGACTGAGCTCTAAGCAGCGAAAGTTGTATGTCAGAGAGATTAAGCACCAGAACCGGACTCAGAAGAGGAAATTTGACGATGCGGAGTGGAAGAATCAACCCATCACTTTCACATCTGCTGATCTTGAAACCGTTGTCACACCTCACAATGATCCCCTAGTTACTTCCGTCACGATCAACAGTTGTGAAGTGCAGCGAGTCCTTGTTGACACTGGGAGTGCACCAGACATCATGTACTTCCATTGTTTTGAGAGTCTGGGGATAGATCCGGCTCTGTTGCAGCGGTATGATGGTCCCATCTATGGGTTCAACAACCAACCAGTCCCAGTTGAAGGAGTCCTCACCATGAATGTTGCATTTGGGAGTGGTCGAAGTTATGTGACCCCTACAGTGCGGTTTTTAGTGGTCAAGATGGCGTCCTCTTTCAACGCTGTCATTGGCCGACCTACACTAACTGAGATCCGAGCCGTGGTTTCCCAGTCTCATTTATGCATGAAGTTCCCAACTCCTACGGGAATAGCTACACTGCGAGGCAACCAGGAGGTGGCCAGACATTGCTATATCACCTCGGTAACACAACCTCAGAAGGACAAGGCTCAGACACCCGAGATTAATCCCAAACAGATACCTGATGATCGGCACGTTATGGGTGTTGAAATAGTAGATAACCGACCAGAAGAGGAGACCAGAGCTGCTCCAGTTGAGGATGTGGAGGAGGTACAGATTGATGACAGAGATCCGAGCAGGAAAACGCAAATTGGGACTAAGTTGAACTCAGACGACAGAGCAGAGTTAATAGCTTTTCTTCGGGCCAATAACGATGTTTTCGCATGGACCTCAGCAGATATGCCGGGAATCCCCACTTCAGTTTTTCAACATAAACTCAGCACCAATCCCCTCAAGAAACCAGTAGCCCAAAAGCGACGTCTCTTCGGGGGGGAGAGGCTAAAGGTTATTAAAGAAGAAGTCGAGAAACTCTTACAAGCCGGCTTTGTCAGAAGGGTAGATTATTGTGAGTGGGTCGCCAACCCGGTGCTAGTGAAAAAAGCAAACGGTAAATGGCGAATGTGCATTGATTACACTAACCTCAACGATGCATGTCCAAAGGATTGTTACCCAATGCCAAACATCGATAAACTGGTTGAGGCGGCTTCGGGAAATGAGAGATTAAGTCTCTTGGATGCATACTCAGGCTATCACCAGGTCCCAATGGCTCCCGAGGATGAAGAAAAAACCTCGTTCTATGCTGGTGATGAGATTTATTGCTATTTAATGATGCCCTTCGGCTTGAAGAATGCAGGCGCCACTTACCAGAAGATGGTTACCATCGTGTTCCGAGCTCAGATTGGACGGAATCTGGAAGTTTATGTTGACGATATAGTGGTGAAGAGTTTGAAAGC